ATTATAATTAATTAAAAGATATAATTACAATTTTTAAAGATATTTCGCCATTTCATATTTAATCGTTTAAAGAGAAAAATTTCTTGAATATCTTCTAATTATAATTCGTTAAAAGATATAATTACAATTTTTAAAGATATTCAGATCATTGCACATCAATCAAAGTATTCACCAACCAAAGTACACATATAAATCAAAGTTTTCGTATAATTTAGAGAAAATAATTAAGTTGAAACATTTCTTTAATAATTGGAAAAATAATTATCATTAGTTTTTCAGTAAAATAAAAACATAAAAAGAAAAGTCGTATATTAATCGATATATACCAATCAATAAGGTATTCAACACGTCTAATTAAGAGGAATAATTAAAAAAAATAATGAATAAATATCTTTAAATTATAATTACTTAAAAGAAATAATTATAATTTTGAAGACATTCGGCAATTAACATTTAATCGTTTAAAGAGTAAAAATTCTTGAATATCTTTTAATTACAATTAATTAAAAGAAATAATTACAATTTTTGAGGACATTCTAAAATAAGAAAATTATAATATCAAATCATACATTAATTAATGTAATAATTCATACACAAATCCATAAGAAATTTAAAGTAATAAAATAAATATTTAAAAGAAAAAAAAGACATTTACGGTAATACGTTTAATTGAATAAAGAATAAATTTTCATTAATATAAAATAATTCATTAAAAAAATTAATTACAATTTGTAAAGACATTGAAACCATTGAATAATTAAGTTGTAAAATTTCTTTAATAATTGCAAAGATTATTCTCATTAATTTTGAATTATTTGATAAACATTTTTCGCAGGTATATAGACAATAGGCAATAGAGAGAAGAATACAGGGATAGAAAACTGATCACAAAAAATAAAAATATAAAAAAAAAGAGTAAAAATTCTTTAAAATCTTGTAAAAGAGAAATAATTACAGTAACAAATATTAATTAGTTAATTCATTAATTGTATAATACGGAGCAACATCAGTAAATTTAAAGTTCATTAAATAATTAGTTAAATAATTAATTAAAAAATCAATTAATTGAAAAATTAATTACCAATTGTTAAAACGGAAGAAAGGAAATGTAATTGGATATTCAAAGGATAGGAAGAATTAGTAAACTTAAAATTTATTAAATAATTAATTAAATAATTAATCAATTAAGTGAATTGTAAAATTGCAATTAATAATTAAATTTAAATTAACTAAATTTAATTTAATTAATGTTAATTAATTAATTAATAAAATTATTTAGTGCAAAAGAACTAAAAAAATATTTTTAATTTAAAATAATTAAGTATATAATAGTTAAATAATTATATAACACAACGAAAATCAATTAACGAAAATTTTTAAATAATTTTTAAATCTTTGAACTAAAAGAAAACATCAAGGATATAATAATTAAACAATTAGTGAATAAATGGAATAAATAATAACGCAAATAAGCTAAACAAAAAAAATGGCAACTTAATAAAGATTGTGTATAAAAATGAAACAACAATTAATGATATTGAAAATAAATTTTAAAAAAAAATTGATTAAGATTAAATAACTAAAATGTAATAAAACAAAACATGTAAAATCATCGAACAAGCAATAAATAAATATAATAAATCATAATGGAAATAATTAATTGAATAATTTTAAAGAATTGGAAGTTTAAATAAAAAAAAAACAAATTAAACAAATAATTAACAAACAAAATAATTTAAATAAATGTATGAAAAGAATAATAATTAAACAAATTTTTGAATGCATACGCGATGGCGATATATATTAATTAAAATTGTTTTAAAATTCCTATGAAGTTTCGTCAACTTCTTAAGCGCTTCAATAGATCTTCGTAAGAACTTGACAAAGAAAAACTAATTTTCATATTGTTCAGCAATATTTGATTATTTTCTTTTTAAAAAAATAGTAAATTTTTTTTCAATTAATTAAAGCAATCAAACTAAAAACGAAATAGACGACACGTAATATAATTAACGGAATCATCCAAAGAAACTGGAAAACATAAATTTCGTGCATTGATCAGGCACCGTTGAATAATTATTTTTAAAAACGATAGTAAATTTTTCAATTTAATTAATTTTCAATTTAATTGATTATTAACTAAAATTCATTAAAATAATTAATTAAAATAATCAAGTATTAAAAACGAAAAACATGAAAAACAAGACAAGTAATCGCGTATAAAATTCAAAGTGAATAATTAAAAAACTTAAAAAAAAAATTAAGAAATGATCAAAAATGTTCAACTAAGTCGTTAGAGTAGTAGTATTGCACAAAATGCCATTAGTTTCACTCATATTTGATTCCATTTCGTCTTTGCCTAATATTGCTCTGGCAAGATCAGGGTCACGATTTTTGATACCAATAAACCAATCGGTAGATGCAACACGTAAATGTATTTCACGTATTTTTTGATTAATTGCTTGCAATAAAAATTCCAAATTTTCCGTTGCTGCAAATTTATACAAAAAATGCCCCAAAAAAGTTTAAAAAAATAGAAAAAAAAACAAATAAGCGGGCCGACCATAATATGCCTTGCACCACTTTGCTTTATAAAGGTATTCACTCCTCTTGTTAACAATATTTCAAAAAATCACAAATTATTTCCGTTCTAACGTATACTTTTCATGGAAACCCGCATATTTGGAATATACCCAAAACAGAGTATTTTGTGATCTCAATTTAACAAACTTAATATACTTCGGAAAAATTTTTATTTTTCAGTTAACGTCATAAAAATCTAAAAATTCAAATAACTTTCTGTATAAGGACTTGCTTTTCGTTAGGGTCTAAGCAATAGGGCTATAAGATCCAAATTTTTTACCGTTAATTTTTTTACTAAATAGCTGGTATGGACTAACTTTCATCGTGAAATCTAAAAATAAACGACATCTTTTTCTGAATGGCAGACTATTCATGAGAAATCTTCGATGGAGCGTGGTCCAAGAAGTAGACCCATCTGCCTTGTATTTATTTCACTCATGAGCAAATTTTCGTTATAAAAGTTTAACAAGCTTAAGCTTAAATGATCGAAAAAGTGGATCAAAGCACATCAATGCACTAAATTACATGAAAATATCTATTTCATCTAATATTAATAGCGTAAATATATAAAAACAAAATAGGCAGACAGAGAGACAAACGAGCTTAAGTAGTCGACAAAGTGGACGGATCAAAGCACATCAATCCATGAAATTTCATGAAAACATCTTGAAAACTGCGATTCATAGATTAGATATAAAAAAAAACATAGGCGGACAGAGAGACGGATACTTAAGTCGAAAAAGTGGATCAAAACACATCAATGTACCTTATGTCATCGAAATATCTATTTCGTCTAACATTCGTAGGATGAATATAAGAAAAAAAATAGCCAGACGGATAGACAAACAAGCTTAAGCCGATTCAGGGAATGATTCTGAATTCCGAATCAATTGGTTTAATAAAAGTGTGATATATCTAAAGCCCTTCTGTCCGTCCGCACAAGCGTAATATACGCTCTACCGCAAGTGAAGTAGGGTATAAAAGCTAGTCGTTCGCACTTACTTGTAATATCTTCACCATTGAAATGACCGCGATTATGTTGCAACTCTATGCCTTTGTACTTTCCCAATTGTTCATATAATCGGCGTAAATAATTCAAATGATGCTCGTTTTCGTTATATGAAGGATAATCAAAAACTTTGTTTTCAATTAACTTGCAATGCGTATCACTTATGAAACCGTAGAGTTTGCGACATGCGTACTTCACCTGATGTTGTACACTCATAGTGATGGGCATCTCAATAGGAGGCGGCCGGGCGAACGTATCTACATACTCACTGTCGGCACAAGCAACCGGTGATGGCGGTATCTCACCGATTGCAGCATGTAAGCCACGCAGCAAACGGAATAAACGCAACACCTGATTCGGTTCTTTGCTGAAACGTGGGATATATAATATTTGAAAATATTTTTGGAGATAATTGTCGGAAATAAAATTCTTACCCATCGATGGACACGCCCAACTTTGAGAAATCTACAACGATTTTGCTATAATCGCGAGTTTCCATTCTAAACTTAGGATTTCGACTATGATTTCGCGAAAATTTGCGATGTTTTTGCATATTAAAGTGACTGCATTGGCCATTGGGTTGAGCGCTTATTGAAATAAGCGGCGTAGATTGTATGCTAGATAGAAACGAATTCCGAGGCAAATAACGAATTTCACACTCCGGTGACGATTGTTCGCAAGGGATAGAATTGATAAGTGACGTAGGCATTTCTCTCAAAGTTGGATAAAGATCATTAAAATACGTTGGTCCGGACGTATGAAACGTGTTTGCTGCAGTGAGTATATAGATAAACTATTTTTATAAACGTAACAAGAAAATCAGGGCTAACTTCGCCAACTGTCAAATTGTAACAAAAAAATCACGGCTACCTTCGACAGCTAACGAAACGTGAAGAGAAAATCAAGAAATAAGAAAGTAATCACCTTGACAGCTCGGAGGCGAATGATAGAACTGATTAAAATACACATTTTGAAAACCATTTGTTACTCCATTTTGGTGTTGTTTATAACAAGTGTTATATAGCCATGAATTTGCTGGCATTGGCATTGGTATCGGCTCATGAGGGGGCATTGGAAACGATACGTGTTCCAAATTCGTTGCCTGGGCGTTCTCTGGGCGTGCCTCTTGTTCAGCAGTTACTATTAAATCACATAATTCTTTGGCTATAATCTCCATATTGATCTGCAATAAATCCTTGTCTTGACAAAACTCAGTGCTCATTCTTTTTCCATTTATCAATCAATATCAATCAAGCGGCAATATAGCTAAATAAAATTTCAGAAAATTTAATTCTATTTAAATATTAGTTTGATGAAAAAGATATCTAATAATTTAATTAATAACACCTTTTCTACCAGCAAAATAAATTAAAAATTTGCCCGCTCTTCTCCACTTGATGCTTTTCAGACAAACAATTCCTAAATCACCGTTTTTTCTATTTCTGCCTGTTTGAATTAAATGTTACGATATTAATTTTACGATCATAGATGCAAATCTTTCAAAAGCAAACGTCATACTTTTTTAAGAATGGACGTATAGCATTGTCTTCAACCAAACAGCTGATAAAATAATTGCCAGATGCCTAAAAAAAATCTTTGACGATGAATAGAAACTCATACAAAAGTAGCTAGAAAAATTCGATGAGCAGAAGAGGAATTAATTTATAAGTCTATGCACTCACAACATGTATGTATGCAAACAGCTATAAAATGTACAAAATTCCTAAATTGATTGCTCCACCAGACGTGGGAATATACGTGAGATTTTTCTCCTCGCACTTACAAATTCGGTACCAAAAGAATATTAGCCGAAAAAAGCAACACTACTATATAGCAGCTTTGAAAGACTTGCTTCTATCGATTGTCTCTTTTATGCGCGTGTACTTACAACATAAATATAAGGTTCACTACTTTTTTTTAAAATAAAATCGTATGCAATTCCCAAAACAATTCAAGAAGCCCGAGCATTTTGTTTTAGCTTATCGCTCACGAGGATATTGAATAAACTATAATTTCATTATAAATTAAGCGACAGATAGGAATTAATTTAATTTGTTTATATCAAGTATAGTACATACCGAATAAGCATGACTGATATAGGATAAATTAGGACACCAAGTCAAAAGCGATAATTTAGATAAATTAAACTGTGGATAGAAACTAATGACTTTGAATTATAACTGAAATTGGATATCGAATAAACGTTGATTATATCAGATAAAGATCACGATAGATAAATTGGGTATTGCATTGCTGATAAACGCTGATACATTGAATACCAAATAAATAAGATGTGATATCAGGATCAAGTACGTTTCCCCTGAATGTGCGAACAAAAAAAAAAAAAAACTTTGCAAAAATTCTAAACGACAAAATTTTTCTGTTTTGCAATTTTTGTTCTGTGACTATAATCTTCTTTCAATAACTTCTACAATCAACTCTATTGCGTATTCAATCTGGCAACGTCAAAGTAATTCTGTGAAATATCGACACAGGGCATTGAAAGATATTTGAAACTAATGCTAGAAATTTAAAGAGCAATATGTATGTGCACAGAAAATTTCCGCGCAATTTTATTATAAGACGACGGAAATATTTTTTTTATTCTACCTTTTTTACATATGATGTACATAAATATTGTAACAAGTTTTATTTCTTTCTAACAAACTAAATTCTAATTGAATTTCATTTGAAGCGTCACCTTATAATACTTTTATAAGGCGACTATATCGTATTGCATCTGAGAGTTGCCTAATTATTTTCATATTGAAAGCAGCTAACTTAACGAGCAGCTGACTAATTTCCTTTTCCGTGTTAGCTGTAAAAGAATAAACATGCCGGTGGGTGATATATTTTATAGAAAAACCTATGAAAATTTAACAAAAAATTTCAGAAATTCAAAAAACTGTTTACTTAATGAAAGGAGAATAATAATAAATTTAATCGAATCCAAAAAAAACCTAGAAAGCCATAAATTAAGTGCAATTTTTAGTGAAAGAATTCAGCTGCAAATATAATAGCAAGCAATAAAAGTAAAAGAGAGAAGACAACATTAGGCACATGGTGTTATAGTTAAAATACCAAAAGTTGTGATTTCGTAAATTTGTGTAATTATGAACAAACATGCTCCGTTTTTGTTATAATAAAAACTAAAGTCTGCAAATTTTTGTTTTTTTTTAATAAAACAGATATTTTTCTTTGACCAATTTCGATATAGTACTAATTAAACGCATTATTTGTTTTTGGTTTATATTCATGTCAATAGCTAGCCAAAGACTTATTACATCCGTCACCAGCTCAAGAGAAGCGAAAACATAAACTAAAAAGATTGGTACAACATCCCAACTCTTATTTCATGGATGTTAAATGTCCCGGCTGTTATAGGATTACAACCGTTTTCAGTCATGCCCAAGGCGTCGTGGTGTGCGCGGGATGTGCTACAATATTATGTCAGCCAACTGGTGGACGTGCGAAACTAACAGAGGGTATGTTTCCATATTTCATTTAATTTGTTTACTTTCTAATCGTTATTTAATTTGCTTTCTAGGTTGCTCCTTCAGAAGAAAGCCTCAATAGAATTTGTCCGTTTTTTTAGTTCGGCCACTCACATAATTCTCTTTAATTCCTTTTTCCAAACAAAAAGAAAATATCAATAAAACTTTTCATTCTAAGCGGAAGATTGTTTAAGTGTTCCAAAGTGAATGGACAATATCTTGAATGATATATAGATGAACAATTGAAAGTGATACAAATTTTCCTAAATAATAGTGTTCTCACGCGTTGTGGGAAAAAAAAAATGAAAGGTTTTTTGCTACCAACTGAATGTAAAAATCTACGAAGTTTTTTTATTAGCAGAACACGGCCCAAGAAAAGCGTAAACAGTGTTTCAAGAAAAAAGCTAATGACAAAGCCTGATTAACTGAAAATTAATCTAGAAAAGTGAACGCCAAAGTAACTGTCGTAACAAGTAACCACTAAGATGAGATATTTCAACTATTACGCTTCAGTAACTTCTTCGTACAAAATCTGTGGGAAATCTGTATACCATTAAAAGGTTTTTCTAAAGAAACCCATACCCTATTGTGTCCTATTCCACTAGATAAATTTTTTTAAGTGTCTGTTTTAGGTTATTTTGCTACCATTTTTTCCTATTGTGTCAATTTTCAGCGTACATCTGTGATCAGTATCCAAAAATAAAGTTGGCCAAGGCTGTTGAATTTTTATGTTCCCAAATGACAGAGCATGCGTGTGGATACATTAGGCCGAGAAAAACAAATTTTTTAGAGCAAAAAAAAACTGAAATGATGTGTGTATATTTATATATGTATGTAGATATAGCTTGGTGGAAATTTAAAAGACTTAGGCTATGAGCTGTTTTCTGCATCTACGCCTTCCATCAAGGCCGAATGGCGTCAATTTGCCACTGCGTTGGCAAGATGTAAAAATAAATATTCGAAATCTTTATCAATTTTTAAGTGTTCAACGATAGAGCATTCTCGGGGAGAATTAAATAGCAAGTAAGCATTTGATCGACGAGAACATCTGGAATATCAGCCATCGAAAAAAGAGCTGTAATAAAAAAAAAATTGTGAGAGTTATGAGGCGAAAAGGCCATATGGCTTCGGGATTACGCTTCGGTATTTATTTACTGAAGCCTTTAAGAGCGAGCATGTAAAGAAGGGCATTCATGGAGATCATTCAGTAAAAAGTAAGTATTGCGTCGACGAAAAGGCCTGGGCTATAAGAAAGAGAAAGTTTGTAAGGATTATTAGATACAGAAGCCATACATCTAATCTCCGCTACCTATTTATTTAATAAAGCCGTTAATTGGAACCTAATCATTTTTACATTAGATTCTTTTTAAATGGCTATTGAGTTCTACATGCACGTAAAGTATCTTATAGGTATCTTACATCTTTTGCTTACTCAAAGTATAAGAAACTTTGCAGTCGACACTACTTTGGCCAGGTGAATTGATTTTGAATGCTCGTCATGATCTAGTAAAGAAATGTTATCTTCACTGCTCTGAGCAGGTCTCTAAGCTTTTGTTCGGCGGACAAACATGGGTAAATCCCGCTGATCACAACTATATATTGTCTTTTTGCAGAATAATATAGCAAAGCAGGGGTCGGCAACCTTGACCTGCTATAGTTCCGAAAATAAAGTATAATACAACAAATAGGTTATAAAACATAAAAATCGAATATTCATATGCTGGTATTCGTCTTTAAACGACTGACTGTAAACCAGAATTAACTAAATCGACGTCAAAAGTTCAGGGTCATACGTTTTTAATACGAAACTGCCCGAACGTCGCTTTAATGCTTACATTTTGGTTGATTTTGACCCGCGCCTAGAAAAGTTTGCTGACCCTTATACTACAGCATAATGTAACAATAAACAGACGTAGGTTTTTTTGTAAGATAAGTATACTGCACTTTGAGGGCAAGTATACCTGCTTGTTGGAACAATTGATAAATCTATGATCTATATATTTATAGGTAAGCATTACTTTTTCTTGGTATTTATTCTGTGCTTAAAAAATTAATTTTCGAGATATTTTTCTTATATATTATCAAAACATGAATCATTTTGTTGGCATCGATCTAGATGGTCTGCAAATATCTCGAACGACGCACAATTTCTGTGCTGTAAAGAACACATTCATGTTTTTGTACCGGCCAGCGAATTGCTTTGTACCTGAAAATTTCATATTGACAAGTTTTTATGAAAAAATTCGCGACCGTCTTTTTTACTGACCCACGCTATATAACATAAAGCCCTGCTGCAGTAAACTCAATGATTCATCGAAAGCGCATATTAATCGTATCGACTAGGAATTTATTTTCCAGTTGTGCAAATTTTCTCTTGTATATGAAATCTAATTAATTATTCATTTATGTAGAAATTGTTAACTACCATATTTTCTCTATAGAAAGTGCGTCGTAACAATAGTTACATTAATTAATGAAATAATCAGTAAGAATGCTACGGTCCCGCAAATCCCTATACCGCTTTGCCTAATACATTTCTTCACTAATTTTCGTAATAATACACCAGAAATGATACGTAATTTTTATGAAAATGCGTAAACTTCATGAAAGTCCTCATATCGGAGGACGTCAACGTGGTCTAAATTTAGCAAACCTAATTCACTTGGTCAATATTTTATCATTTTTCAAATCATTAATTATGCTTTATCGCCATAGAACGGCTTACTTTCATGAGAGATGTCCACGATCTAACAAATACATTCATATGATCCAAATTCCCTAATCATAATTAATTACGAATAAATTTTCATCACAAAATATTAACTATTGATCGTTTTGGGAATATATAAAGATTTATTTTCTTTAGAAGAAAGATAGACTTCCGTGGTCCAAATTTGGTAAAGTTAATTTTTATGTCATATTATTATTATTATGAACGAATTTTCATCGAAAAGTATTGAAAATTAGTCCTTTCTACTATGCAAAGATTCAGTTTCTGTAGGTATAGTTATATGACAAGGGTTTCAAAATAATGCTTCATCGGATGCAAAGCTTTCACAATAATTTAGACTGCCAAAATAATATTAGTAAGTGATTTTTGCTGTAAAAAATAGTCCAAACCGAATGCCCTTGGGCCAAAATACCCGAACGTATCAAATTTCATGAAAATGTCTCGAAAATTGCGATATATATGCTCAACGCAAGAGTCAATGAACAGACCTCAGATGAAGAAATGAACGGACTGACAAGTTTAGATCGGTATAATATGATGTGGACCTATCTGAACCCTTTCTGAGCGTTACATCCCTCTGCTCAAAGTTAATATACGCTGTAAATAAATGGTATAGGGTAAACTTACAGAAAAATAGGTGTTAGCTTATAAGGACGTAATTTAAGACTTAATGAGTAACAATTAGAAAATAATGACTAAAAACATTAATAATAAAACACAGGAATGTTATAATAAAAGTATAATGGAGAAAACTTAACATTTAGGGAAAATTTTTATTTAAAAAAGTTTTCTATAGAAACATGTAAAAAGGGAAAAGAAACGTTAATTGGCTTTGTGCCAATCGCTAGTACTTTCAGTACTGCTCTGAAAGACTTGCAAGCAATTATTATTGGCTTTTATCTGACAAATAAATAAGTAAAATTTCTCTCAAGAATATGGTTTATGAACCCGTAAAACCTTTACCTAGCCGATGATATTAGGTTAAACACAATACATAGCTGTGAGAAGAGGCAACTTAAGATCAAAGCATCCTAAATTGTCCGCGATTGAAGAAAACAAATAATGAAATCGTACTTAATAATAGAGAAACTATATAATAAAAGATTCTTGAAGAAGAAGAAATTCCATGGTGGCAGGGAGCTGAAGAGCTTAGAGTAAGTGCGTGTGAACAGCAATTAGAAAGTCAAAGTATCATTATAGTGGAGCGGCAACCTTCTTTTCGATGTTTAGCTCTCAACGACTTTGTCCTATTTTCCAAGGGCAAGAGAATGGTTTTTTCTTTTTAAATAACTGAAGCGAAGGTGAAATTGTAGTTTGAGTTCTAGGCTATAGTTAAGGAATTGAGATAGTCGCACCTTTTATTACAGCAATTTCTGTATCGATCTAAGCTTGTCTGTCCATCTATCCATTTTGTGATTTGAAAAAAACAAAAAAAAACCCATTCTAAGCGGTGCTCAGGTACAGTGTTTCACTAGTTGTTGATTTGCTGAATTTTAGAAGAAGATGACGAAATTATTACTGGACAAGGTTGATCCTACTTCGGCTGATACAATTCTTCACTTGTTTTCATGATAAAATACTATAAAATTTTAATGTGTTCCCAGGTAAAGACATACTTCTTATTTATTTATTCAGCCATGTCAACTAACACTGTTAAGGCTAAAGGGCTTACATTACACAATCATAGAGAAGATCATCAAAGCACAGCAAAATTAACAGTGCTCAGTTTTTTAAAGTGAACAAATTTATGTTTAGAATATTTTTAGACTTTAAAATATTAGCGAAGTGAACTTAAGTCTGGGACAGATCTGCTTTCAATAAATGCAAATTCAAACAACGCCGCCCATGGAATATATCCCAGACCATAAATTTCGCTTTGCTAATACTTTAAGCCTAAAAATATTGTAAGTAGGAATTTGTAAGTGGTAAGTAATTAAAAAATATTGTTAAAACTATGGCATTATATATATCAAAGATTGTCAATCAGAAGAGCAAGTAAACAGTGCGCAATATTACAGCCATTAAAGTAATAAAAGGCAAGCGTACGTCTATGTAAAGTATTAGAGGTGAACATAGGTCTACCTAACTATGTTACACAGAACTTAGAAGGCAGAGTCTACCGCATTAAGATGCTGAGACCTTATAAAGGGCCAAAATTTAAATTTTTAAATTGACATGATCTAGATGCAGCGAAATTAATTTTCTTGCTGAAGACCTTATTATTATTCATCTATTTTCATCATAAAATGCTAATAATTAAGTTTTGCCTTTGTATAAAGGCATGCGAAGCATGAAAATCCTTGTACGCCTTGAAGTCTGAAAAATAAACCTATGTAGCATAGCAGATTTATATATCAAATCACTATGTTGGACCAAGTTGCACTATAATATATTAAAAATGTACTTAGTATTACTTATATCCTTACTATTTCCTTTAAGGGAGAAAATTCAAAAACGATCCAAAAGTTTCAAATTTTTTTTCGAAAAAAAATATTACATGGAGGGTAATCTTAAGAATGGTCCAAGCCAGTTCATTACGAATAAGAAAATACACTTTTGTTTAACGCATTATTTCTGCAATAGTGCCTGTTTGTCTAACTGTCCAAATAGGTGGGTGAGTTTAAATTTTTGTCTCACGGATACTCCGCAGACGGTTACATCTAACAAAAAAAAATATAACTCTCTCACTCTTATAGAATTGAACGGACGGACGAAACCTACCTACCGGACTGGCAGATCATCAGCCCCTGGTCTATTGTGGACCCTACTCTACCTCCTCCTCCTCTCCTTCGAGGTATTATTTTTAGTGGGAGACCCTAAGGCAGTTCAATGCAAATAAGATTCATTCTTGGATCAAAATAGGAGAGTGTCCTAAATTTGAAATGTCTAAAAAGCTGGGACCTATAAGCAGAATCAAAAAATACTTGGACAGATCTTAAATAGATTATTTTAAAGCTTAATTTTTAGTATTTTTTGGAACAACATAGAGAGTGGAGTGGAGCATGGCAAGTTTTCTCCAAGAAACTTGAAACTTGATCGTGCTTTCAAGACATAATTTGTGGTATTTTTTGACGAAAATGAATGGAGAATCATATTACGAGAAGCGATATAGGATATTTGGTCCTTCTCGATTACTTCTTTTATTATAGTATAGGTTTCACATGGTGAGAATTAACGCTTCTTCTTAAGGAGAATACTGTTCAGTTCTTAGTTTTTGATATTAGTGAGCCCGTAGTAAGGGTAAGTCATTCTTATCCAGTCACTTTAATTTTCTTCCTTATTACGTCTTGATTTGACATGGCGAATGTCAACGCTTCGCCCTAAGCCGGTCACAGTTCAGTTATTTCTTATTTTACTAGGAAGATTCTTCTTTGGTTTTTTCACTCTTTAGATTGATCGATCTTTTGCGAAAGAGCGAAAAATCAAAAAAAGGATGTAAACTGATGCTTAACGGGCGACTGATAGCAACTTTAGCATTTGTATTCGATTCACAAACAGCCAAGCAAGCAATAATCAGCGTCAAACGCCGTATTGGAGACTCTGAAATATATTTCTGTTGTTTAGGAAAAAAAAAAGAAGAAAAGAAACAAGAAGTCTCAGTGACTTTTTGCCATTCGTGTGCGGGTGATATGGTTTTCTTTCATTTCTTTGCTTCTAGTTTGGTTGAGTAGCTTTTTAAATTCATTGAAGTCGTCTTTTGTGTTTTATACATAAGTTTATATAATAGATAATATAAAAAGTCTCCGCGGTTTTTTCCCATTCGATGGTGTTGATGCCTATATATCGGCCAACACTCACCTGATTGTCTCAAACGACAATAAGTGATTAACAGGTGACATTTCGGAAGATGATTCAAGCTAGTTTTCTAATTTTTTACTCGTTTATTGGAAATGAGTGAAATATGTGAAGAAATGCGCTATGTGAAGCTTTTTTACTATAAAAAAGGTAAAACATGCCAAAACATGCCGATAATGAACGAAGGACTCAGGACCTGGGAGGGGTTTGTTCGATTCCGTTCCAGAAATTCCGATATCAAAGATGCACTTGTCTCTGGTCTACCAGTCATTAAAAAAGTTGCTGAAATTTGGCAATATCTGGAGCAAGGCCCGAAATAGTGGAGACATCATTTGAAAAGTGTAGGCTATAAGGGAGATAAAGCTCAAAAGAAGACCAAAAAAACGCGGAGACTTTCTATATCACCCATATGAAAATATTATGTACAAGTGTATGTCTACGAAGGCTTGCATGAAAGTGCAAGTATAACTGCAGGATAATTTTGTCGCAAAAGCTTGAGTTGACTTTTTTGCAGACTTATATGGATGTACAGAAGGAAAGTAAAAAAGAAAAAAAAAACTACCTCCATATCTGTGTCGTTATAGTTTTCGATGGTTGACATGTTTATTCAAGAGACTTGTTTTTTTTTTTTCTTTTCTTTTTTTTTCTACTTGATTGAGTTTTTAAAGTTTCATACGCTTTTCAACATCATCGGCCCATAGAAATGGTTGAAATGGTTGGTTCTCTTTTGCTTTTTTCTGTTTTTCTTTCTCTATATTGTATTTTTTTTTCTTATTATTTTTTTTTTTTTTTCATTTAAATATTATTTTAGGAAAAAACTTGAATCTATCCATCGCTTATAAAGAAAATACATAATTGAATATTTCAATTTAATTTTTAAATGCATTCACATCTGTGCATGCATGTATATGTTTTATGTCTTTAAAAGCTTAGTCTCTTTCAGGTGCAAGCATCAAATGTTAACTGCATTTGAAAGATAATAAATTGGTTAGAAAAAAATGTTATATTTTATTAACAAAATACGTCATGTAAAGGATATAGAGAAATGAATACACACACGCACACACAGCAATAGAAATTAAAAGAAAAATATAAAACATGAGAAGCATTAAAAAGAAAAAAAAAACTTTGTTCAATTATTATAAGATATATGTTATGCTTCTCACTTACCTGAACGCTATGGATTTAATTTTTTATATAAATTCGTAGTGAAAATCGGAGATATTTTCAAAATGAAAATTTTTTGATATAATTAAACGTTTAACATTGACGTTATGCTCGATGTATTTGTCAAATGCAGTGTGGAAAGCTGGAATGAGAAAAATATGAAATATGAGAGAAATTAAATTAAGGTTAAAATCATTAATTTAATAAGGGAATTGTACATTTGAACGCGTTCAATTCCAATCGATTGGGAAAGAAGAGATCTATATGAATTTTATATGAACGGGATAAATTTAAAAAGTAAAAAATTTACGAATAGCATATTCGCCTCTTTATTTTTACACGGTAGACACGTTTCTTAGAAAAACCGTGCAAAAATAAGTCGCGTAAAAAAAAATTGCATGATATGGGGATATGTTTCGCAACTTTAAGTAATCGTATAAAATGAAAAACTTTAAATAATTTTCCAAAAAACCGTGCAAAAAGAATAAAAATAAAATCAATATTATATTTTTCATTCCGAAACCCCAGCTTCAAAAATCCCGTAAAGTATATAAATTCTTGCTACGTTTCAAATTTGGAATGCACCTAAGCATGTGCATCTTTTCGTCTATCCCTCTGTTAGTCCGTCCATCTGTCCGTCTGCCTAGCTGTGTAGTACCTGTTCGCAAAAAAGAAGATATCGCCTAAAACAGGCCAAACAGATGAAACCACCCATCTATCCAAACTGTCAAAACTTTCGCTTTCCGAATTGTTTGTTGGTTACCCATAAACTGTAACAGATACATAATATAAATTTCCAAAAATCAAAATTAGACAAAATTACAAAAAATCAGCCACGCACATTCGTTATTATGGAGTATGTGAGGTCATATTTTCCGGTTACCATATTTTTTGCTCATTACTCACAAGCTTCAAAGGATATTATGATATAAATGTCCACACACATCCAAGGTTATGGTGTGTGTAAATTTCTATTTTCCTTTTTTCAATCTTTTATAAGATAACGGTGATGGGTGTAAAAGGTATACCGAATATAATTTTTTTTTTTTACTTATTAGAATTTAGTTTCTTAGAAGATCGGGTTACACCTATTTATACCCTACACCACTTGTGTATATTAAGTTAGTGCACTCGTGTGTAACACGCAGAAGAGCTTAAGATAAACCCACCTTTTATTATACCGATCGTCTTAGAATCATAATCTGAATTGATCTAAGCTTGTCTGTCCGTCCATCCGTTTGACGTGTATCCCTGTAAATTTGTGTTCAAGCTACAGGTCGCAATTTTCGTGATATTTTGACGTGTTTTGACACAATGACGAACGCTATTGAAAATAATTCGTGCCGTTCCGACCACTGCCCACATAACGCCCTATTCGGAAAAATTTTTATATTTGCAATTTCTCCGCAAAAGTGGCTAAATAGTAGTACTTCGGCATTGCAAATTGATAAGAAAACTTTAGACTAGCTGGGGCAATTTTTGAACACCCTCCCGACAAAAAGGTCTAATTTCCAATGTTTCACGAGAAAACTTTTATCATAATAGTAATTTAACAAAACAAATTAACTGTGCGCAATTTGGACCATCTCGGGCTATTCTTTGGATTCTATTTTAATAAGAATTTTCTCGAATATTGATTCTTTATAGAGCAGAAGAATTTGAATATGTGGTGATGAAAATTGCCCATAATCTTATAATAATTTCATACAAAAATTAATTCTACAAAATTTAAAGCATCTACGCCTATTACGCCTAAGGATCAAACTTGTACTACATTAGGTTGCGTTTCGGCCCCTATTTGCATTCTATAAAAAAAAAAAGTATTGTGTTAGATAATGCGATGTAGGGTATTTAATGGTCGGCTTTGCCTCACCATATCGCTCTTACTTGTTTTTAATTTATACTCATAAATTAAAAAAAAAAAATTTTTTTTATAAAATGAAAAGATCTTTTATTACTTTTGCAAATCAAATTGATCGCCTTCCTTCCTTGTTGAACTTACTGACAGTTTGGCCTGGGGGAAGCAATTTATAACGTCCAACACGGCGATTAGCGAAGAAAACTGTCAAAATGACTTTGATTTTTGAGCAACGTGGGCGTAGTTTTTTCACATTTTGATTTAGCTTTTGCGTAATATTCATATCACGAGTTTTTGGATCGTCCGAGTTTCAGATCTAAAACTCATCTGTCATAATGGTGCAATTCTCATAAGGCTGCAATTCATGGCGACGACGTAGTCCGAATCCTTTAAACCAGTTAAAATTGAATCGCCCAGATTTGCATGCTTAGAAAATCACGTGCAACTCCTGACCGATTAAATAATTTTGACATGAAATTCTAAATAAATCTCTACAAAGTCACAAAAAAAAAAAAAAAAAAAATTGCATGACTATATTTTTGTAGTGGGCTTATGTTTTAGTTATAAAAGAAAAATTTTTTTTGATTTGATTTTTGTTGTATTTTTTACTTCAAAGGTAAATTTAAAAATATCATCCATAAATTCAAAAACTACGTGACATAATTTTTTAACAAACGATAAGGTACATAATTGCTTTAGTATATAAAAACTAGTAGGAACATTGTAGTTGGGCAAGGCCGACCATTAAATACACTACACTACATTGTCTAACACAATTGCTATTATATCTTGTTTCTATATAAAGGCATATTTTTCATGTCCGCATTTATGGGAAAGCGAGCCCAACACGCAACCTAATGTAGCACAAGTTCAATCCAAGAATAGGCGTAGATGGTCCAAAGGTTCATTTATGTATGAAATTACTGTTACGGGTCAATTTCAATCACCACATATTAAAACTTAAACTTCTCTGGCCTACAAGGGATCAATTCTCGTCAAAATCCTTATTAGGATAAGTTTCGAAAAAATAGGCCGAGATGGTCCAAATTTAGTACAGTTCATTTTTTTATGTTAATTTACTATTATGTCATATGGACTTTAGGATTCGTCTTATGAGATCCGGTTTAAAAAATTGCCTCAGCAGATCCAAAGGGTTCATACCAATTTAGAAAGCCGAAGTACTAATACTTAACCACTTTTGCCAAGGAGTTTTGAAAATTGCTAATAGAAAGACCTTTTAGAATAGAGCGTTATATGGGGAGTGGTCGAAAATGTGAACCGATTCGAATCATTTTCAATAGCGTTCGTCCTTTGGTCATAATAATATGAGCTCTCTTTGATAAATTTTAATGCACTTATTGTTTTCATTTGTCGTTCACATTAATGCCATTTCGTTTCCTTTAATTCTAGTCCGCCACTTGCAGTGTAGGGTATATTAAGTTAGCGCGGACATATGTAACACACACATGGGCTTCAGATAAACTCAGATTTTATTACACCGATTGATCCAGAATCATTTTCTACATCGAGCTAAGACTCGTCTGTCTGTCTGTCTGTCTGTCTGTCCATCTTATGTCTGTCTATGTATGTCTGTATTCAATTTTTAAGGTATTTTGATGAAATTTGATACACTGGGCGTGCTATGATTCAAGGACTAATGCTATTGAAAATGATTTGGATCGGTTCACTTTTTCGGCCACACCTTATCTAACGCCCTATTGAGAGAAGTCGTTGTATGGAAAAAAATTGAATTGTCCACAGTTTCACGGCAAAATCCGCTTTGTAATAGTATTTGGACATTCTAAATCGTTATGAAACCATTTTTTTGATCCTTCTCTCATATAACCGTTTCTACGAATACTAAATCTTTATTTAGTAAAAAGGTATAATTTTCATTATTCTATGGTGAAACTCAGTGTATAATGATAAGTTGATATAGAAATCAACCATTCCGAATTTACGGACTCTTCTAATAAGCGGGCTTTCATGAAACTGATGTGCAACTTTTGATGCATTATAGCCGAAAACAATTGAATAACTGTATCAGCCGAAGTGATGTAGGGTATCTAATAGCCGGCCTTGCTCGACTATAATGTTCTCGCTTGCTATTTGTTAAACCTGAAACTCCATTCTTAAGAATAAATAAATTTGTGATGAACAAAATCTTTAAGCCTGCGATGAGCTCTACGATGAACCAAAGAAGTTCCTTCCAAGACCATTATGATATTTTGGGCCGTGAGTTTCTCTTCACACGATTTATACTTCTTGGTCGTTACTATCATTCCGAAATTGATTTGAGATCTTTCGTCTTGCCTAAGCGTCTTTCTATTTCTCTTCTTCTTACTTGTTTTAATTTATTTTAAATTGCATAGTCTTAAGCCAGATTTTTCTAAAAAATGCTTCTCAACTGCACAGTCTGTACTTTATGCTCAATTCTCCTCGAAGCCGCTGCTGCGGTCCTCTAGTCTTTTATTCAAAATTGAGCGCGAATACGAAACGATCATCTCTCGCTGTTTAGTAAATTAGGCAAGTGTTCCGTGTGCCTTACAGGTGGTCTTGCTATAATACTAATATGTATATTAAGGTTAAATTAATTTTAATTTATCAAACGCCTACCCACCTAAGACTAAAATTAGGAATAATGCCTTCGACAATTGCTTCCTTTAGCAATCAAATGTGCTACAGTGTTATGTAGAGTTTCGATTTAAAATATTGTGAAGACTTCTTAATCCAGACGATGTTTTGTCTGCAACTTTTTGTCGGCAGTCGTGACGTAGAATAGGAGAATAGATGTACGGTACTTAAAGGTGAGTGGACTTTGTACGACTGTAAGACTTTAGTTTCGTTTTAATTTAGAATAAGTGTAAGTAAAGTCTTATGCAAACACGAGGTATATCATAGAAGGAAAATTTTGAAAGTTTTTGCATGCATAACCATAATTCGATTAAATCAAGTCTTTGACTCGCAGCGCAAATATTGTTCAGATATGTGAGGCAAATAAAGCAATTTTACTTTTCACAAACTATGTTCATATTTTTAAAAAGTTTTTAATACGTATCTCTCTTATTTGATAAATCTAGTATGACCTCTATGACGGAATATAGCAAACAAGTGTTTTCAAAAAAAATTCGATTAGAAACGAGTTTATAGTTTATTTTTGTTCTTTTTCGCTTATA